TTGTCACAACGCTATAAAAATCCGAACTGACAACAACAGCATAGATGAAGATGGTTGGTATGTCTGGTAACCGAGGAAACAATGCCGGTGGAACAATGAGGTCGTACGTCCATGTATCATGGTGATCGATCCTCGAAAAACATGCTTCCGACCATTTATAATGGTCATAATCCAGTGACCAACCAACCGCCTGACTTCCCAGAAATTAGTGACTTCAGGAACAACTATCATGAAGCAGAGAAGTCTGTGGCCAGATGTTTCTTGGCTGTTAATAACAAGTAGTAGTCAATAAGAAACAACAGAATTCCTATTAATCTGAGATTTGGCATGTTAACATCTGAAAGGGTAGTGAATTCAGAATAGTAGAGCGTTCTAGGTTGGACCACTTATCGGAAGCATTTTATTAGGAAAGTGATGTGAACAGAAGTTGAGTTCCTTAATATTAAGACTAACGAGGTGAATTTTGTGGTCGTACTGCTTATATGGTCGCTTATGAAGTCAGACAATGTTCTGAAACTTCTGGGACCCTCTACCAAATCATTCATTTACTCAAGTTACCGAAATCAATGCAGTATGGTCCTCTGTTTGGCCAGTAATGTGTCCAAAAAACTAGTCATTTAATAATCGTAAAGTAGCTTTTATACTCGATTGTGATCGGGATGCAGTCTACCACTCGTATGACGTAATGTATTACACCAAAATGCAGGAATATATCCCTACATTTCCTGATCATCTGGAGTTTCACTATTCAATTATCATGTAGACATGTATGTGCGTTACTAGTTTTTAATTTTACCGTGAAAGACCTCTTAATGGTGAGTTTCCCGAAGCTTAATCATTGCACGCATTGTTCCTTCCATTTTTACATACGCAGCCAATCAAAGTAATTAACTACCGACTATGAATTCATGAGAAAATTGTCTTCAGAGTGGAGGGTGCTTTATTTGAACTAATAAACATTGGTATAGTGGCACCAAAATATATATGCGCCACAACAAAATTGAGGTTGTGAAGAGAAAAAAGTGAGAATAATAAAAGAGAGGAGCAACTATTAATGGTAATTAATGTATGAGAGTAAGACAGCAATAATAGTAATAATAGAAGAAGCAGTCCAATAAGAATTAAAACGAGGAAGAGTCCTTCCAGTTCGAGAAATTACTAACTTTTATAACGAGTTACGGCAGGATCGCTACTTACTTCAATTCTGACCCATGTTCGATACCGTCTCTAGCCGCTGAGTTACTCAATCCTTAAGGCTCGAACCAGGAAAATAATAAAGACCAAGAGATTATTTTAATCCACTCAGTTTCACCTTTGTCGAAAATACTTTATTTTACAAAAAAAACATTCATGCGGATCTGCCATATTCTCACTTCTGTATATTTATTTTTCCTGTGTACCTGAATTTACAATTCCTAATTTATATATGGTTTCGGTTTATTTTGGTGTTTATTAAATCCCCATTTTTGTATTTGCAGTCTCATTTACATCATCCAAATCAAGACTTTCAATATCGAAAAATAAATATACAAAAGTGAAAATATGACAGATCCGCATGTATATTATGTTTTTTTGTAAAATAAAGTATTTTCGACCAAGGTGAAACTGAGTGGATTAAAATAATCTGATAAAGTCCTGTTCATTCAACAAGGTTTAAAATGTGTTTCAAATTAACTTTAAATCGTCGAAACGTACGTAAAAAAGAATTTAAACCAGATTTTTCTAGAGAACATCAGCATAAATTAGTAAATGCTGATTTAATGCCAAAAAGAATTATAAATCCTTCCATTAAAAACCAATAAAAATATTTTAGATCTAAATCAGATTAATGATCTTAAATGAGTTACAATCAATTAATTTTAAGAACTACACCAATTAAGTTATGTGATAAAGGGTTCCCGAAGTTTCAAAACATTGTCTGACTTCATAAGCGACCATATAAGCAGTACGACCACAAAATTCACCTCGTTAGTCTTAATATTAAGGAACTCAACTTCTGTTCACATCACTTTCCTAATAAAGTGCTTCCGATAAGTGGTCCAACCTAGAACGCTCTACTATTCTGAATTCACTACCCTTTCAGATGTTAACATGCCAAATCTCGGATTAATAGGAATTCTGTTGTTTCTTATTGACTTCTACCTGTGAATAATAGTCACATATTGACTTCTGGTTACTGTTGCCGAATGCTTTCATTACTTAACATCAAGGCAGTCCATATGCTTACTTCGTCTCAGTTTTGACGATTCTCGATTCAGACTTCGGCGGTGGTTATGTGAACTGAGGTAGGTAACTTCAAATTCTGTATTATCAGGTCTAATTATATCTAAACTTGTTGCGTAATTCTTTTTGGGGAAATTCAGCTTACTGTTGGATCGTTTGTTCGACACTTTATTATCCTACATAAACATAGGATTTAACCCCCTGGTGGTCAAAGTTACATGCACGTCAGCAAAACGGAAACCATTTTAGTCGTCTAAGCATTTTGGTAACTGACAACCAGTATACAAATATCTATGTATTTAATCAAGTTCGCATATTTGCTATCCTACGCTAATTCGAATACATATTTCTTTCCACAATTGATAGTTATGATCCCTACTACACTTCAATGAAAACCTTAAACCAAATTAATCCTAAGCAGACGATGTGAAACTATTTCCACATATATACTAGTTACAATCTGGCAGAGCCGCCAAGACACACAAGTATGTTGACTTATACCGATTAATTCCAGTTCTGTGAACCGTACGCATGCATTTGTTTAGGAGTGATTATGAATTTCAAAATTTTCATTTGAGTTCTTCTATGCACTAACGGGTATCATATCGGTTTCAACAGATGTAATGAGACAAAAAATAACCGTGACTTTTGTCTTTAATTAATGTAATTGCGACGAGACAAGTAAATTTACCAAACTGAACTCACATTTTGACAATAATATTTTTGAGCAATACCACCAAGTTTTGACTGATCATTATCTTCCTACCTAAAATTGTAAACATCGGCAGAAGCAAACCGAAAGTTACTTTATTCATATGCTGGAAAAAAATAGCTTCTCGCTGTTCACTCTATCCTTGTACTTTCTATATTCCTTAGAAGACAGGATTACCTCAAAATGAAACTCCAGTCTTACAGTACGATGATACCCACGGGTATCATACTTAAAACGGACCAATAATCGTTGTGCTCCTTCGATTCACTGAACAGGACAGCATTATCTATTGAGAAAGCGTGTACCTGATGAGTTTGATGACATCTCAAAGGCCTTATATACAAAACGAAGTGTGCGAGATTCAATAGTTTCATTTGTCTGACCACTGGGTTTTGACATAGTTAACATAAATATGCTGTCTGTATTTGAAATTATATGCGTTACAATGATTTGCACAACTATCTTCTTCGATAAACACTAAGTAAATTCTGAAAATCCCAGCCAAAATCCGAAGCAATGTAAGTTCCTGGTGTAACGATCGGATTATTCGAGGGATCATGAATAAATGCTGTTTTACCCCATAGCAAAGAATCTTTTATTCCTTAGGATGTAACACAGAAATAACTCGAGCGTGACAGCAATATTCCTTAAAATGAGTTAATAACTTACTGTAAACTTATTCCAGTCCATTTTACTTTTAAATGCTTTGTAAAGTTGAAGATAGTCTTTTAAATAAGATATCTTTTTAGCAATTTAGTGTATGAACCAGATATGAGCACATCAAAATAAAACTTATGATGAGCTTATGGTTATAACTTAAATATTCTTTAATAATCCATATAAGTGTAGTCCCTAATACACTTAGTTATATGTTTTATTTACCGAGACAAATAGTTCGATTTAATTAAATTAAACTGACTATCAATTGACATAAGTTAATCAGTAACATGCTCAAATTACGATCACTAATATCATAAGCTTAAAGAGCCATTAGCAACATATCTAAATTATTGTACATATTATTATATAATCACTCCTTCGAATGTGATTAGAATATCATGGGTTATTGGAAAAAAATGTCTTGGTTACTTCCACTTCAACCCGTTGGAACCTTGTCCATCGCACCAAAAAATTACCATAAATATTAGCCGCTGAGAATGTATGATATTTCTTTTTGTTTGTTTTTACAAATTATTCGAAAAGCTTGGAGCAATTTATGCACGTATTCCACGTCTTTTAGTAAATCGTTTACTATAAGTTTCTTATGCTTTCTTAGACAATTAACAACAAATTCTTATGGATGATGCTTTTATCATGGTAAAATTGACTAAAGGGATAGTTTAGACCGGCAAAAACGTCTGAGGAAAACGTACTCGGTGTGAAAACTGAAGCTTCAGGGTTCTCTTGACAATGAAACCTTGGGTCCTTAAACTGAATTCACTTCTCAGTCCTAAACTCTAAAATTTTTGTAGTTGTCAGCTGTATATAGCTCCGCCTGTAGTTCTTCTGCAGTTACTGCCAATCCCAAGCACACACAAAGGAGGAGGGTTGGGCATGGGGCCGACAACCCCATCCCGTAGAAAAAAATATTGCTAGAATAACACTAACCAGAGTAAACAAATTAAACCCCTGGGGGTCGAAGGAAGAGTTGTGTAGCCTCATGATGACAGTCGAGATTCGTAGGAAGTCACAAGGCCGATGCCCCTTCTATATATAATAATAATAGCAATAATAATAATAATAATAATAATAATAATAATAATAATAATAATAATTATTATTATTATTATTATTATTATTATTATTATTATTACTATTATACTGTCTTATCGACAATAATTGCTTGACTAATAAAAATAATTCGTAATTAATGTCCATAAAAAATCAAACAAACAGTCGTTGAAACTGAGCTTGGCAAAAAAAATTACCTACGAATTTTAGATGTACCAAGCAAACATTTTTATCACTTTAGTCAGACCACGGTACACGCATAAAATAAAGGTTATTTCAAAATGAATATAATATTTAGATAAATATTACTTTTTGAGTTGTTTAAGTACAAAGTTAACAAATCTGGCCTCATTTTGTCGTGTTTAAGTGTTATCTATACAAAAATATGTGTTGTTTCTACGAAAATATAAGTAAAATATATTTTAGTGCATTCACCAATCTTTTTCTAGGTATTCACCTACAAATATGATTTTTGTGTTCCTAATAGGATGTATAGGATATTTGTGTTCTCATCTACATCTAGTTGATTCTCTATTCGAAATTAAAAGTGACCCGGAGATATATATGAATATTGTAAGTATTTACTTTGAAGGGTAACTTACATTTTGCTTGTAAAGAGTGAAATAATACGGAGACAAGGCTATCTAGTCGAAGAACATGAGATTACTACCAGTGATCAATATATTCTGTGTTTAATTAGACTTTACACAAAACAGTCAGTTTATCAAAGTAAGTGTTGTGAGCTGAATTTAAATCTTTAAAGGTGTTTCACTTCCAAGATCAGAAACATCATTATTTTTTGCAATTTTAGAGCGTAAAGTTGTTTTATTGCAACATGGATTGTTGGACTCGTCACATGCATGGGTGATGAATTTAAAAAATCAGAGTTTAGGATATATTTTGGCTGATTATGGGTATGATGTATGGCTAGGAAACAGCAGAGGCAATACATATTCAAAAAAACATAAGCATCTTGATTCAAGTCAAAAAGAGTATTGGGATTTTTCATGGCAAGAAATGTCGGGTTATGATTTTCCGGCTACAATCAGATATATTATATCTGTTACTAAGATGAAACAACTAAGCTATATTGGATTTTCTCAGGTAAGCACATAGTACACCTTTGGTGATTTAATATCTACTTAGTAAACTCAAAGATTTTTTCAATTTTTAGACATCACTAATTACATCAGATGCATAAACATTACGTTTACTCACGACAACGCATAAATTTAAGCCCTCTTCTTTTGATCTTCAGCTTTAAATTCACTGTAGAAGTACAAATCATTAACGATCTTGCTTAAAATAACCAGATAATACATATTATATTATTTTCGAGTAGTGCTTCTATGAAGACAACTGCTGGAGTGAATAAAATGTCTCTTAATTTAAATTAATGTCTGCAACTAGTTATAAAAACCTTCAATCTCAGTAACGTAGATTTATTTTGTTATTATGTTTGATTTGAGAAAACACCCAAATATGTTTGTACAAGAGAAAACTCCAAATCATATCGAAAAAATTAAACGAGCAATTTCAGTGGTTTATTCTTCGGTTGTGTGTCTTAGTCAAAGCATCCCTCAGTTATGTTTATTTGTCTTACAATATCTAATATTTCACTCTAGTAAAGCATTTGACAAGTATAATACATGTAAGCTGTTAAACTTTTGGAATATGGAAATTCCCACACATCGCAACACTTTAGACGTTTAATCCATCATAACAATTGTGCCGATTCCTCAGTATTATGTAATTATGAAGAAAAAATGAAACTACAGTTAGAACGATTATAGACCAATACCTAGGAGAACAAATTGTTTTTCATTTGTTAGTGCTCTTACGTCCCATAAACGTTTGCAGTATTTGGGATTGTATTCCTAATATTTTGTTATGATTAGCTTCAGTATTTTAAATTAAAATAATTTGATAAGTCGATCACACAATAGGGCAGTTTTTTAACTATGGAAATTTCTCAGTAGTCTTTAGTAGTACTATTGCATGTTTTACTGAAAATATCTTAAATTTGTAACTGCTGTATATTTTCAGTACTGTTTGTACGTATTGGAAACGATTAAGTATTGTTTATATACTTCCTTACCTGATGAATTCTCTTCATGTTGATTCAAGTTGGACTGCTTACTGTGCTTGCTTACAATATAATCTATGAACATCTCACGTGTTTTTCCTATTTAATTGCATCCTCAGTTCTTGTTGATTGGCTGTCGGAACAAAGGAATACATGTGAATAAGTGTATTGCATTCTATATTACACTAAGATAATATTAGTAGATGAATCGCTATAAGTCTTCATGTACAGAGGCAGACACTATATATTCAGTAATTAAAAACTGTTTATTTATTGTCTCTTAAGATCCTCCTCTTATGATCTAGGTGATCTAAACAAAACATTCACTTATGTATAGCATGTCCAACTAGAGACTACACTTATATGGATTATTAAAGAATATTTAAGTTATAACCATAAGCTCATCATAAGTTTTATTTTGATGTGCTCATATCTGGTTCATACACTAAATTGCTAAAAAGATATCTTATTTAAAAGACTATCTTCAACTTTACAAAGCATTTAAAAGTAAAATGGACTGGAATAAGTTTACAGTAAGTTATTAACTCATTTTAAGGAATATTGCTGTCACGCTCGAGTTATTTCTGTGTTACATCCTAAGGAATAAAAGATTCTTTGCTATGGGGTAAAACAGCATTTATTCATGATCCCTCGAATAATCCGATCGTTACACCAGGAACTTACATTGCTTCGGATTTTGGCTGGGATTTTCAGAATTTACTTAGTGTTTATCGAAGAAGATAGTTGTGCAAATCATTGTAACGCATATAATTTCAAATACAGACAGCATATTTATGTTAACTATGTCAAAACCCAGTGGTCAGACAAATGAAACTATTGAATCTCGCACACTTTGTTTTGTTTAAACTATTCTTTATATTAATTTAGTTAAGTCTAATAGAAATTCAAGGAATATCTGTATTTTTGGAGATTCCGGTGGAATATTTTTAAGGGTAATGTAAAAATCGTCTAAACAAGTACCTAGATAAATACTGCAAAATGTTATGCTCCGTTTCGTACTAACTAGTAATAATCTCAGATCCTTTTCATTAATCGAATAAGGTTGATATTTCACAACTGCTTTCAGACATTAAAGAGATTGACTATGATCAGGAGTAATCTGTAATCTTTTCCCACTAATTCCAGTACGTGCATTATAATTCAAATATATGCTCGATTTTCGTCGTTCCAAATCTTAATTGCGTCAGTGAAAACCTGTCGAATATAATGTACATTTATTAGAGTTAAATAAGAGAATAAAACTTAGCTAAAACAGTTTGTATAGAATTTCTGTAGACAATTTTAACTTTCGGTTCCTAATTTGATAACCATCCTTCCTATACATATTCATATGAAATTTTCCATTTACTACATTCCTGGTTTGTAGTTTTTTTTTCGATTTTTTTTGCATAAGGGATCACTTATCGCTATGACGGCATTAGATGACAACCCAGAATTACAATCAAATATTAATCTATTTATAGCCTTTGGCCCAGTTGGCTATTTCGCAAATGTGAAAGGCATTTTCCTCCCACTAGTTCATCACTATATAATTGCTCAGTTTGTCTTAAAATATTTAACACGTGGTGAAGTCCTTCCGTCCGATCATTATATGAAGATTTTGGGAAAGTATCTTTGCGGGTTTGGCCCAAATTTGTGCATGTCCGTTATTGATAGTATTGCTGGAAACGATGGCTTCAATACTAATTTGGTGAGAATGTAAAAACATTTGTGATTTAAAGTAATTCACTATAGTTAAATAATTTCATAATTTATCTGCCTAATCCTTATTAAAATTACTTAGAACTTATTCATTCTTTGAAACGGTATTTTTTATGTAGGACTAACTTTCTAAAAATTTAGTTCAAAATTGTTGATAGTAGATAAGTTATTTCGTTGTGCAATAGTATCAGTAAAATAAAATTATGACATTTTATCTGAACAGAGCAAATTGATCAGAATAGTTTTCGCTGAAATGGATAGGAGTGTAGCGTGGTGTCGAGTCGCGATAGACTATGAACACCGCTAAAGAGGAACACGTGCCAAATAAATCCTTCGGAAGCCAAATATCAGAAGGCAGTTAATGGACCAAGTCGAGATATATTTACTGGCGATCTCGTGGTATCGAAAGAATACCGAGATCTTGCCAGGATACAAGCTTGGCTACAGAGCGTAACCGAATTCGCGCGAGGTCACAATCAAAGTGTGTGAATAATGGATGCTTTTTAGCACAGTTAAACAAAAGCACATTAAAATAGTCACTGGTACAGTTGGTTATAATAATAATTGTTTTCATTAAACCAGTCGTGTTCTCGTGATAAAAATGAGTCACTACATGAGATAATCATATGTGAACTATATATATTGTTGAAGTAAACAGATGGGCAATTATGCTTAATCCTAAAATGTATAGAAATAAATTAACAGCTGAAATTGATGTAATATGAAACTAAACAATACTAAATATCTTAGATGATCTGCCATTTGATTTTTGTTGTCTTTTTTATAATCATAATATTTAAATGATGAAATAGCTATAAAAACAGATAGGAAATCATGTTATCTGTTTAATGAGTTGATAGTAAAAGTTGATTGACTATTTAATCTTATTCATTAGTTGTTTTTGTACGTGAACATGGAATGACTTCATCTTACTAGAAATGCGTTAACACATTTGAAAATGAAACATCAATTATTCCACGCTCGGTAAACATTATTATTTCTTCTAAATATACTGATATCATGAACAGCTTAAATGGTGCCAAGATATGTGTATAACACTTGAAATATTCAGTGTGATTAGTTCCCAGAACTTTGAGAACTTTTTCACATGAATGGTACTTTGAGTATCGAAACAATTTTGTAAGTCAAGTCATCTTGGAACATTATTTAAAACTGTACTTTGTTTAGAAACGGTGTTTATTTGTAAACTTTTTCTAGTTTCTGCTCCCTTTACCATGATGATTTTATGTTACTTTTAATTTAGACACGTCTTCCACTTATTATCGCTCACTCTCCAGCAGGAACGTCGACTAAAAATCTAGTCCATTTTAGCCAAGTAAGTTAAATATTAAAAAAAAGGATAAATTCTAAGGTACGCTTAGAAGAAACAGATGTTATGTGGCGTGGTCAATTCAGGTAACAGGTATCTTGATTTTAGGCTGAATGAATTCGATTAGTAGGAGCAGTTACAATTATTAAACAAATCGTTAGCAACAATGTTGACCATACCCACAGCACGTAGTGTGAGTAGCAATGTGGCTGTGTTGCGGGTCGATGAGAAAAAGGAACCTGCTATTTTTTGACTGAAACTGTCTACAATAACAACAGCCCTCACGATCGAATCTCCCCTGTCTATTTGCAACACAATTCTTTTCTTTCAAAAAGTCATACACCAATGTATAAAATGTAAAACAGACGGGGAAAATGACGGGAAGATAACGACTTGCTTCGCGTTGAAATAAATTCGCATATCGTTTCAATACTTTTATTTCTAAATAGATAAACGTTACATTGATTGATGGCTCAAACTTAAATAATTTGTTATTGGCTGTAAGCCGATTAATCAATCCATGTATATATATATATATATATATATATATATATATATATATATATATATATATATATATATATATATATATATATATATATATATATATATATATATATATATATATATAAATGAAAGTGTTACCACCACTAAAATTAGCTTGTTCACTAAATCTTACGCTTGATCCCATTCCTAACAGGTCCCTCGGTAAAGAGATTTTCTTTTTAGGATGTTTTCAGTACTGATGGCATCCAATTCGAACTTAGAGATTAAACTCCAATTCCTTTGTTATAGTTATATGCCAGGGTAATCCTTAAATAACAAGAATACATTAATAAAGGTGAGTATCAGAGTGCCAATTTGATGAAGTAATAAAATTAATGCCATTAATACACTAACTAAATAACTAAATATTATGAGTCACAGGCGAGCACTGGAATTGAGATTTAATGGTCTGATGTAGATCTAAATGTTATTGACCATTTTTATTGAGCAGTTTAATAAGTTGAAATTCAAAGTGTTTACTATTCCGTGTAAGTAGTTCACAATCGGTATTTTTCCAATATATTCTACAACCAGTTTAGCGAATGCTGTCACCTGCTTTAAATTCTTTTCTATGCTGATTTTGGATTGCTGTAACGAATTACCCAATTTTTTATTCACTTAAACTGTGTTTCATTTGTAAACCAAAAGGAATTTCAATATACTCATACGAGGGTTACCACTATGTTGTTCGATTTAGGAGGATCTTTCTTAATGGAAATTCAGATTAGTGTAAATTCCTCGTCTCGTAGGTTCGATCCAGGTTTCATCGCGCTAGTGGTGATTACCTTTAGTTCGTTTTCATTCTCAATGTAGCATGGTGACTCATAGACTGTCAAATGGAATTGAGACTTGCAGATTGATTTAAATGCAAAAAACAACCTCTTTACAGTACATTTGAATATATTCATCGAGATTCTGGTAAAGTCAAGCGTTCTTAATCAATCATTTTAGTTGATGGGTTTAATGACGGACGGATTTTGTTCAATTCGTTAAGGTTGTCCATATACGAATTTTCCTGTTTGCTTTTCATCAGAATGAAAATCAATGAATTAGTTGTACTGAATTTTGGAGCCTTAACTGTGTGGATTCGAATGCACAAAGGTTGAGATATTTTGATGTTTTCATCAGATTTTCAATGAGGTACACTGCTTCAACAATTTCAGATTCCGAATTGTAGAAAACATGGAAAATTATTTTTCACATGGTTCACTATCATGCAGAGGAATATTCTTGGCTCTAACAGTCTTGTATTAAGAGAGTAGAATCGGCGGGTCTACTGAATTCGGGTTCGATAAAAAGTCCTAATGGTCAAATTGTCTGCTTCATTCGAGTCACAGCTAGAGGTTTAGGTGACACTGCATCTGACAAACCGGTAGATGCCGTAGGTAATATATGATCTGTTGTTTTTGTCAGTGAAGTTATCTGATCATTTTTCATTCTGATTAAACATTTTGTAAATAGCTAAGCTTTATCTGGAACGTGATTGGATTCCTTTGACTGCTTTTGTAATAATGTCATACATCATACGACGATGCAACTTACATTTCACTATTCAACATTCCGTAAATCCCCATATCTTCTTACTAATCACTTTTTCTTTTCTGAAGTTATCGCTATTCCCTATAAAAAAAGTCAGCACTCTTGTCATTTGTTAAGTACTCTAATTCCTTTTAATTAGTTGCGTTTAAATATATTTGGTACTATTTTGAACCCTACCCAAATTAGTCATTTAAAAAAAGTCAGATATTAATTTATCTGATACCTAATTACACATTCTGTTAGTTAGTCGTAATTTAGTTGAATACCATAACACGTTCTGCTACTTGGTAGTCTACACGAGTAAATCATTTTAAAACTTATAACTAGTTATATTTTATTTGTACTATTTTGTTGCTCACTCGTATGTGAGCAGCTCTTATTGGATTGAACCTAAGTCAGGTTATTTTGCTCGTATTACACGGTGACCAAAATACATAAGTATTTCGCAAGCTTATCACTACAACCCCAGTTTGAAATGCTTTTTGACTTTCTATTATAAAATTATTTAGAATTTTATTTATGAGTATGGTTAATTTTATTTTTTTATCGCCATATACTTGGTAGAATGAAACCGAATTAAGTCATATCTCCGCAGGTTTTAAATTTTTTAGGGAAGTGGTTTTCTACGTCATCAAGACCTAAGCTTTCTCAAGCTTTTAATGTCATGATGAAGCGTTATAATATGTTGACCACATCTAGTGTGAGTAGCGAGTTTTTCACCGCTCCCAAAATTTATTCGTTTTACACAATACTAAAAAGAGTATGTCACAGATCGCGTGTCTTCTTGGACGTGAACGGGGTACAAACCGTGGGACATTTTGTTTGATTATCAGCAGCTATTCACAATATGAAATTTTTTTGTAAACGTTCCAAGTATTATGACAGAGACGAAGAAAATATCTATAGAAGAAACACAAAATACTTTTTATGACGTAGCCTAAGCGATGTAATAGGTAGAAAAAATTTCGCGAATTCGAACAGTGCAATTAGAAGTGAAAGATAGTCAAATCAGACCAACTCAGCTGGAATTATAAAAAAAGGTTCTTACAAAAGTTACGCTACTCTGTTTCTTCAAATTTTATGTTAAATATCATAACTAGTCTCCAGTTGGAACATTTGCCTTAACTACAAGCTAAGGTACTCTCATTCATTCTTTGTTGTTTTATAAATACTATAGTGTTTCTTTAATGAATTCATTTCAGTAAATGATTTGTAAAGACCGATGTGTTATGACTCGTCTTAAGAATTTCGCATATAATCCATGGCTTTCACTTAATTTTTTTGTATGGAGTAAGCAGAGTATTCTTCTTCCTCTATGTATTTGATTGTTTAACTCAATCGATGTTTAGTTCAATAAATAGACATATAAAACCAAGTTAAGATAGGTGCGTTAGTGATATTTATACTCACGCACTCATTAGAAATACCTTATTACATCAGCCTTAGGAAATCTATTGGATCATATTAGTCTTCGGAGCGTATCTTATTTATATTGTGGTGCATAGGGAAGCGATATTTCTTTAACCACTTAATAAATAGTTTCTTAAATACCATGACCTAATTTATTAAACAGTGAGAAATTTTTTTCCCGATATTTTTTTGTAGATGATTGACAGTCATCTGCTACAGAAATTTGACTACGGACAGTACATGAATAGACATATTTATGGTCAAGACGATCCTCCTTCATACACCCTGAAAAACTTTAACATTCCAACAGTCATTTATCATGGCGGAAATGATCATTTATGTACAAACGAAAGCATTGATTTACTTATACAAAGGATTAACAAAACTATCATCTCTGTGAACTATATTGAAAATTATAATCATTTAGGCTACTTCTGGAGTACAAATGCTGTAGACCTAATTTACTCATCGTTACTTAGATTAATCGAGAAATATCACGGATAAGATTTTAAGAAGTTGACAGTTATCTCTATCCAATAAACCAAATTATCTATTTTCTTCGTTTAATATCTGTCAAAATTTTTAATGTTTTAATGATAGTGATGATGTCACAGGTATTCAGTGTTTGACAACGCTTCTACCAGTAACACCTTCTAGTATATTTCGTTCCCGCCCAGAGAAATCAAAAGACAGAGTCGAGGAGATCGGAAGAGTATATTTGGCGATGACCAATATATCGGAATTCTCTGATCTAATCTGGCTAGCGATTGCGGTTGATGTTGAGCACGGCGTTACCACACGTGATCTGGTGCGGATGCAAGACCGAGCGCCTTCAGCTAGATGAGTCCACTAAAACATATGGTCAGCATCCAATGTCGAAAACTTAGGGCTATTTATTTTGGGGATTTATTTACCGCTACAATAGTAATGACGAGAAAATGTAACAATCGATTTAGGCCTGTAATAAATCAGTTGAAATTAGCTTACTGAAGAAAAATGCCCATTATTTTGTTTGTGGATTTTCGTCATTTGGAGAACTTACAAACTACGAGCAAGTTATTTGTTTGAATGATTGAAAATCATTACTTAGCTTCGCTTTAGTTCACAAGAAATCTCTCCTCACATATTCATAGCCATGAAATTTAAAGTTGTAATTGGATGATGAAACATCTGGAATACGTATGGTTTACGGTAGGAAATCAGAAGTTATACATATTTAGTCTTGATTCTGAAAATCTAGATCTTTGGAGACCATTTCATCTATTTTTAAATGCTGAATTTATAAACGAGTTTGTGAGCCGAATGTGATGTGGTTTTGTCAATATTTGACCAAATGTAACAATTTTTCTTCATGGATTGTGATTGCGGCTTGATAATAGATTTTTCAACAGGGACCTAATTCCTAGAAAAGATTTGAGTGCCATTTCGTTTTTCTGACTAATCGCAATGCAATTTAATTTAAATAACCGCAGATTCTCTTGGACGACAGAGAAAAAGCACGAACAGGTATGTAACTATATGACAGAAAAAATTCAGTGCAAATGAACTTACGTGCTGAATTTATTTTTCATAGACTAATTATCATAAGTTAGTTTGAAAAAACGCACCTGAATAGTTAGTATCGGAATCACTAATATCCAAATATTAGAAATGTCACGACGGATGAAAACTAATAAATGAATTTAATGTTTGATTCCTTTCCAAGTATCTGCGATTGGCACAAGATCATTTCTGTAAAAACAACTATTCCGTTGTGTTTTGTTCCATCAAAGTGAATTATTTTTTAGGTTTGTTGTCCTATACTATCTTGCGAAAAACGAGATATATTCATTTTTTTCTGTTTGTTTACTTTGGATGTCCTCAAGAGCGATGTCATATTTTTTAGCTTGGTTTTTGACATTCGTTTCTTATGTGAAAACAGTGGAGGCTACAAACTCTTTCTTAGAAGCATTCTTATTACCATTTACAGATACTAAAATCCATAACTTGTTATAAATTTTTCTCAACTCTCCTTAAACTTTGTTCCTCATATACATACTATTCATAATGTTACATTTCAATGATGGACGTGAACAATAGAAAGTGAATACATCTGGAGCACGACTTAACGGAAAAATAATTGTGCTCATCATAGATGGAAAGTAAGTTTGTTCACACAATGTTGAATCTTCATGGTCAATTTCATTGACTTCAATTTAGTGCTTACTGGGAGAAAAGAACAAAACGTATCTCGTCTGTAGTGACTACTTACCGAATATTTTCTCTGCACTCCTTTATGGGAACTTTACCTATATGTTGAAATGTTGATCCCAACATTCCTTGTGTATTTAGTAATGAGCTATAAATTAGCCGAAACCGTTCTTTTAGTTCTGTTGTACGTGCGTCGTCCTTAGTATAGCTTTACCTCCAATTTCATAAATCGACTTAAAAAACAACATGGTTTCACAAATAAACGATGTGGTGTAGTAGAAAATGTAGTGTGCGTATCAATGCTAGTGGAGTGATAAAGATAAAGTTTATCATTCTGAGGATTATCCAGTGTAGTTCTAAGATTGCACGGAAATAAACTCCTTCATTAAGGTAAGTAAAACTGTTTTCTGTGCCGTAGAAAAGTAAAACTATGACAGACCACATAATCAATCATCTTCATACAATACATGTATGTAGCTATGTTCTTACTATCGTACACATGGTGAATCGTGTAATTTAATTTGGAAATAACTTGAGTTTTTTGCAACACGTATCAGAGTGCATCTCACTTTTTGAGCTAACTCCTTCTTACCTGTTTCATTTTCATCATTAAGCATTTTGGAAAATATTCGTACTTATATATTAACGTTCGAGAGCTTTTGAGTCATAACCTTCTTATTTATGTTCGAGTATCGATGGAAGTTCAGTGTAACTAGAATTTTACGTCCTAACGCCTACGTTCTATCAGTAAGGTTGGTGCAAAATAATCATGTGATCTGAGAATTTAGTCACTGATTGAACAGTAAATGATATCCAAAAACCAAAAGAACACAGTCCAATATACGTTTACCACTATGTATTCGAAATATTCATGCTCAAAATGTTTCTCCCATGTGCTTAGAAAAGCAAAATCTTCCATTGTATTTTATTATAGCTTACAACAGCAATACGTTACTCCATATCAGTCTCTTTTTAGAAACATCTGTACGGACAGTTCATTCCAGTCAAAAATTAGAGACGTAATCCTCTTACACTAAGTCAAATTTATGTGTGGATATTGCAGCAAAGTTTTTCAAGGTAACCAGACAACTTATACTTATTTTAAGGAGTAATATTCAATATTTTAAGATTGTGTGTAGAACAATTATTCTTTTGCTTGGAAATTCTATGGACCGGTAAAACTGTCATTTTCGGTAACATTGCGATGAGTTACTTGTCGTTAAATCGCACTTCCGACTATGCCAGTTGTTGATATAGAGCTTGATATAATTCATTTTTAATGTTGATGTAACTCACTACCAACTTTAGGTTTTCAATAGCGAAGTAATGGTTCATACATATAAGGGCGCGAGCAAAAAAGAAGACTAAAAAGGGCGTATATGAATAAAAGTGAACTTTAAGAAACAGAATAACATCTTTATTCATGTGAAGTATGTTCGATTTACCACCTATCCCCTTGCTCTAAGATCAACAGAAATGGTGGTATTTGAAACGTCTAATGAAAAGTTTACTTTCAAAAAAAATAATGGGATTTTTCGAATTCTGCGACAAATTGTCACTCTTACTAATCATGTTATCTCGTACGCCTAAGTGATAATTCATTGGTTTACGCCGCTTACCTCATGGTCGAAAATATAAACAGATCACTTCAATCATCAAAACACAGTTGCGTAAGATGAAAACAAATGTTTGAGAAACTATCCACTTACGAGGTATGAGGAAGATAAAGAATGTCAAAAACATGGGTGTAGTAACAATAAAGACCCGTTTGCTTGATAGGTCTAAACGGTTGTCCACTGTCGCAAGAGACGGCCAACATTAACTGTTCAAAGTTGCAACACCGTCAGACCAGCCTAAATGCCATTCACTTGGGTTTAGTTTACCTACCTGAGTATTAAAATCACTTATCACTAACACTACATCGAAGCGTTCAGCTTTTTGAAAGAGGCTGGATAGCTTCCCATAAAGTTCATCTTTAACTTTGTTCAAGCTGCAAACAGCGGTAGAGAAGGCAGAGAAAGCGAACAGGTAACGTCACGTATTCTCATTTTTCCGAGTTCTTACTGTCCCGTTCACTCTAGGAGAGCCTGTTTTGCTTTTGAACTTATTTCTATATCTATACCAACGATGTCACATGAAGTAGCAGTAGGGTCTTTAGATACGTGTAGAGTATATCGTCCCGGTCCTTTATACTGACATGGTGAAGTCAAATGAGTGACCGTAATTGGATTCTGTACACGCGTTTTGAAGACGTAGCATACATCGATGACGCGAGATTCTTTTGTCCTGCTAAGGAAGCCAGTGTTCCTGTCTGACACAAGGTGCGAACATTAAAAATTAACAAAGAATACGTTTGTAATTTAAGTAAATGACATTGTCGAAAATGGAAATTTCTTTCTTGAACTGTCTGTAATTTTTCCTCAATGAAACAGTAACTTTCTTTTATGATAATTGAGATTTCATATTTACTGAATACTAAACGTGTACTACGTGCGACTTTATAATTGATACAATTTAAGTTAATCTATGAATGATATTTTCGATTTAATAGTTAATGCAAACATGCGAAGCACTTAAATAAACACATTTTGCAAATTAATTCCAAACCATCTATGCATTCTATTCTCATATTTAGTGAGACAGATTCTTCTCGGTCACTTTAACTGCTACATTTTAATTAGTCGGTTCGCACTGAGTATTAAAATCATGTAACATATTCCTGCGGGATCGTGTTTATTCAACTTATGGCGAAATCTCGAAAAAAAACATGACCATTTGAAAGAAAATTTAGTTCTAACAGTCTGTAAAAAAACCATACAACAGAGGTAGTCATAATTGATGTTATATCAGACAACGAAACAAAGACGTGAACTTGCTGAAGAAACTTTGGATGTTTGATATACAACTACTATTTATTGGCCTGTTATAGAAAGTAATTTCTACAGAGAATGTGCGTATGTTGATAATAGCAATATACACGAATAATTATGCACTAAACAATGACATAACCTAAAACCAAATATATACATCGGAAACATTTTAGCCCACATACATAAATATTCGCAAACGTAGAACAGTCAGAAAAACTAATATTTCATTTAAAAATACAATGAAAAACAAAACCAAAGCAACGCTTCGACTCTGAAAAAAAATACAAATCACGAAACTTAAGGGTAATAAGATGACCAATTAGTCTCAGTAGTACAATTTATTTCATTTAAAAAAAAAACATTCAAATAGCTCTGAGATTTAAACAAATTTGCTGACAGGAAACCGATCGTATTATGAACTTTCGGTAAGTAGAAAATCCAGATTGAGCTTCGAATCATTCACTGAGATGAACATGAGTTTCTATCACTTACCATATAGTTATCACATGAAAGTTCATCCACAAAAGCAGATAAAAACGATAAAAATAAACACAAAAGCTGTGGAAATTAGACAAATTGATTCATCAAATATATTAAGGTAGTGTACATATATTGGCGTTGCAACTATACTTATACAAAGGAGGTTAAGTAGCACGAGCGATCTGAGCAGAGGGTTGTGGAACTTTAGAAGGATTACTACGCATGTTAGAAACTGTGGAACTGGACGTATTATTTGATAAGAGTTTGACATAGTTAGCAGGAATTAAGCCTTGAGAAGTTGGTTGACCACTAGAAGAATGAGTTATCAATTCAGCAAACCACCAATTCTCATCTTCTTCACCAAGCAGGCGAAGACGATCTCCCTGACGAAATGACATTTCCTCCTGAAACTCAGCATTGAAGTCAAACTTGGCTACACATTGTCGTCCCGATAAATTTGTTAATACCACTCCAGGAGGTAAATCCACATTCATTTGAGCAGGGTGCTCTTTAGTATGTAAATGTGAACCAACGGTAGCCTGTGGTTGGGAACCCTTGATAGAAGTATTTGTGTGAACGCTAGGGTTATTAAAAACCACATTAGGACCGGAACCAATTGAACCAAAAGTCTGAAAATTACAAACAGACCACTAAATAATAAATCTTATGGGGTTTTTCTTTTTGCGTAGAAAACTCATAAGAAGCGATACAGCAGTAAAAATAACGAATGTATGACTGGTTTAAAAGCTAAGTATGAAGTATCCAGACTAAATATAGAGGTAATCTAGTCGGTATAATCGTTAATATCCTTTGTAAACACTAGGATTGTTTTATATTTGTGTTTTAAACCTGTTCATTAGGTACCAACTTAAGTACTATAATTACGAAATGTTATAAACAAGAATTTAATGATACAGTTACGTAGGAAATGGTGGGCATACAATCAGTTGGTATAGTGAAACTGATCCAGTATGTTCTAAGTCAACTCCCAGAAGTCTCATACACATATTCCTACAATTTAGATCAAAACCGAAAAATCTAAAAAATATCTAAAACAACGGAACGAAAAACACTTGGATTTACAGCTGAAATCGGTGAATATTAGTTAATAATACTAATAGACTTTAAATAAATAGTAAAGGTTTTCACATAAATAGTTGATGACAAATTACTACCCGAATGAAATAAATTTGAAGAGCTAGATTCATGACTATAGTTGAGAAACCGGATTGCATATAATAGTCCAAATTTAAGGGTTCATTGTTTAAATGTTTATAGAAATGAATCTTAATGTTACAGGCCGAAAACCGAAAGTTAACAGATTTTGTGGTGTGTGCTACTGATGTCGATAGATATAAGTAGCATGTGAAATGCCCGAAGGCAGAAGGTTAAGAAGATCGAATAAAAGAGAACGAGAACAGAGAATGAAGGGACAGTGAAGTGTGAGACGATTGACTGACATTTGCAAAAGAAACAGTCAAGTTTGAGGCAATTGACTGACATTTTGCAAGTCAAGTATTTACTGTATGGTTT